CCACCATATCCTGAAGTCCCTCCTACCAGCATTCTACAGTATCTTCAGAGGAGAAAAATCATGAAGAGACCCAGTAGCTGCACACATACTATGTACAATATTATGAAGTCCTGTTGGCRCTGGAGTGAGGACAATCGTCCCTTACCCAGAGAGCTGCGCTTTCGCCTAGAAGGTGCTGCTAGAACTGCTGATGACAAGGCTGTTCTGCAAGTACCAGAGTTGGTGGTGCCTGAACTATATGCATCTGTGGCTGGTATCAGTATAGAAAGCCTTTCCTACAGCTACAGCATCCTTTGAAGGCTTCCAGCTGGATACATTTATATGTGATTCTATTTTCTTGAAACCAATTCCTCCAAGAACACTTTAGTGGGAAAAGAAGATAAAGGACATAGATCCTAGTTATTTCCCTACATATTTTGTTAGAAATGTGAAGTGATGCTGGTTGATGCTCTTCACACCACATACCCTTGAACTGAGAAATACTGTCAGTCTCATTTTTTTCTATCTCAGTCCTAAAAACCCTGGGTAGAAGTGGAGAATGTGTCAATGCAAAGGAGGCTTGAAAAATCTGCAACTTAAAAAAACAAAAAACTTCAGTGTTTGTTGGGGTATAGCACAAATAAGCTAGTCCTTATCATCCTAGGCTTGCTTACTCCTTAACAATATTTTTATCTATACTATTACAAGGTTCAAAGAAACTAGGAATGAAATGAAGAAATAGAAATCTAATAAAGGAGGTGATGAGGAGATTTAAGATTTTTATTTGCTCAAGAGTATAGCTGTGGACCAAAATCTCCTTCAAAGGGAAGCGTGAGGGGACATAAAATTTCCCACTCCTGGTCCTTACATGCAGGGTTGAAGAACTTTGAAGGAAAGCTTCTGAGTTCTCCTTGAGTATAGATATAAGCAAAATAGTCCCCTTTTTATATAATTCTGAATCAAGTGAACCCTGTTTGGGTACTACTTTTGATCAGATGCTGGAGTTGTTGTTCTATGATTAAGAACATCCAACAAGTATTGTTCATCAGGTTTATTTTCCATTCTCCACAAGACTAAGGACAGTAAACTTAGAAAATCAAAGTGAGATGAATGATGATAATGTTGTGTGTGTGTGTGTGTGTGTGTGTGTGTGTGTGAGAGAGAGAGAGAGATAACAAAGGTAGAAACCAAGCAAGAAGTCTTAGTACCTCAGATGGTCATTAAAAAGGGCTAGTCAAGAATGTGATCTGATACAGGATGGTTAACTTTTAATTTTCAAGATCCATTGATTTACTGTGAAACTTATTTTATTAAATTAATATTTATTGAGTGGAAGTAGGCTTTTCTGATATATAACTACCAAATTTTCTAAAATAGGGAAGATAGAAGCAAATAACTGGAAATTCATGTTAATAGGAAAATTTAAACGACAACCTACAATGTCAGAAAAAAAAATTTTTTTGCATGTAAAATGGGAAGACTATATCACTGCATTGTGATGAGGATCAATAAGTATTTGTACAGTATCTGGTATATAATATGTGCTTAATAAATATAGTTTCCTTTATTTTGCCTTTCCTAACCTAGGAACTTTCATATTTTTTTTAACCTAAAATCTACTGTGGCCAAGAAGAGAACCTCAATCTGTGATACTGCAGAGCAGGACATGCCTAAAGATAATGGCATGATATACTTGTACCATGTACACCACATGGTTAAAAACAAGAAGTCGGGCTGGGGATGTGGCTCAAGCAGTAACGTGCTCACCTGGCATGCGCGGGGCTCTGGGTTTGATCCTCAGCACCACATAAAAAAAAAAGTTGTGTCCACCGAAAACTGAAACATAAATATTAAAAAATTCTCTCTATCTTCTCTCTCTTAAAAAAAAAAAACAAGAAGTCATCACTTTTATCTTAAAATTTTTTACATGACTGTAGAGTATATTTTCAAATGTTATACATATACAGAATGAATATAACTTATTCCAGTTAGGATCCCATTATTGTGGTTGCACATGACATGGAGTTACTTTGGTTGTATATTCATATATGCAGATAGGAAATATATGTCCAATTCATTATATTGTCTTTCCTTATTCTCATCCTTCCTCCCTTCCCTTAATTCCCCTTGTCTAGTCCAACGAACTTCTAATCAAAAAGTCATCACTTTTATTTGAGCTTTTGGGTGATGATAGTAATCCTCTAGTATTTCAGAATATTGAAAATATTACAATGATATTCTGTTGAACTTGGTGATCTGTGACTTTAAAATCTGAGTACCCTAGTAAGGAAATCTAATTGCTGTAGGAAAGATAATTGGCAGTTGAAAATATTGTAGAAAATGGAATCCTGATAGAATTGTAATGCATCATCTAAATGAAGAATGACTATTGCCCCTGTTGGAATACCATAGTGAGTAGAGAGGATTTAAATAGGTAGTAAATGGCAGTAGGGATAAAGGAGGTGGAGTGGCTTCACACTCAATGGTAAAACCATGTGGAATACTGTTTTTGACTTTCAGTTGTTCATTTAAATCAAACTGACAAAAGTATTTATTTATTCTATTATTAAAAAATATTAATCCTTGCTGTAACAGACAGTGGGCTAGGTGTTAGATGAAAAAAACAGCTTTTGGTTACAGTTTACAAGTAAGAGACATTATATATTTAGTTAAGTGAGTATCTGCTAATTACAAATTAGGTGCTATGAAGAAAATGTATGGGACAAGAGAAGGGAGTATAAAGTAAAGATCTCCTTTGAAGAAATAATATTTAAACTGAGACCTCAGGTTTGGGTAGGAAAGCCAGAAAAAAGAGAAGAACTTTTCATGAATGGAATTATATGTATGAAAATTCTGAGGCAATAAATAAATTTAGTTTATTTAAGGAACTGCAAGGACATACATGGGGCTACAGCTTGTGTGTTAAAGGGAAAATAGCATATAATAAAAGATATTGCTTTTTTCATGACATGTTTTGGTAATTGTTTTGGTTGAAGGGAAAGAAGCAGACAATTGGTATTTCTTTAAAATATTTATTTTTATTTTTAGGTGGACACAACATCTTTATTTTATTTTTATGTGGTGCGAGGATCAAACCCAGTGCCTCATGCATGCTAGGCGAGCACTCTACCACTGAGCCACAATTTTAGCCCAACAACTGGTATTTTAAATGTTGACCTCCAAATTAATTGTTTTTTGGGTTTTTTTGATACAGACCTAGAAAACTGGCTAGAGCGATTTTGGCTCCAAGAAAACTGGGAATTTCTTTCAGTTGTTTGGGTTTTTTTCAAAACAAATATTATAGTTCTGAGATTATATTTTTGGTATCTTTGATCTGTCAGCCAAAGTAATCATAGAATTAAAATATTTACCATATAATCAAGTTGAATCCATATATAGATTTTTATTGTTTCGATTGCCCCCTCCTCCAGCCTTATTTTTCCAACCTATGCTTTATGATTAAAAAAATTCCAGTAGTTAGGAACTGAGCAAACATACACCTAGAAAAACTGTCTAATGGAAATGTATCATGCTCATGCAGAACAGTAGTGGCTTTTATGCAACAATCAGGCATCCTATTAAAATTGATGAATAGTGATGTTTTCAACCATCTTAAGATAAAAAGTAAATTAACTGAATTTTCTTAATCTTGTTGTTATAATTTTGAAAAGATTTCTTTTTTGCTTTACCATACTTATTTAAATAAAAACAAGTAGCAAATACAATGGAAGGCTCATAAGATAGCCTATTATTCTTTTTCTTTTTAAAGAGAGAGAGAGAGAGAGAGAGAGAGAGAGAGAGAGAGAGAGAGAGAGAATTTTTTAATATTTATTTTTCAGTTTTCGGTGGACACAATATCCTTGTTTGTATGTGGTGCTGAGGATCGAACCCGGGCCGCACGCATGCCAGGCGAGCGCGCTATAGCTTGAGCCACATCCCCGGCTCCTTTTATTTGTTTTGGGCATAAGTTAGAGGTTATCTTGTTTAAGCATATAATATTGTTATAGGTTACCAAAAATTCCTAGTTTTAATTATGGAATTAAATACATATCATCATGTCATGATAATCTAGAAAAAGCATCTAGTGTTTAACATGAACATATCTGATAAACAATGGAATAGGAAGTTTGGCATTTCTACATGATGATGATTCTCTTATTTAAAAATAATACCATTAAATGGTATAAAGACAGATATGGCTAAAATCCATATGGAAGTCTGTTACAGAAAAGAGAAGAGAAAGGTGAGTGGATGGAATTAAGTACTGATACAAAATACTTCACTACAGCCTCTCTTTTAAAAACACTCTCATATATTCTTTTAGGGCACATCCTACACTTATTCTTTTTTTTTTAATGATGCTGGAGATGGAACTCAGGGTCTGAAGCAAGCTAGGCAAGTGCTGTACTACTTAACTGTAATTGTAGCCCTCTTATTCTTGATTTAGTACTCTGATCTATTAATTGAGATAGCCCTAGACAACTCCTGTAAATACTTAAAGTGAATCAAAAGCACTGAAAACACACACACACACACACAAACATGAGATAATTATCTCCAGTGTTTATCTCAATACAATTAGAATATGCTTCTGAAAATTGGTRGTTGGACTGGTTTGATCATTTTAAATAGAGGAGCAAAAAAGGAAAAAAAGAGGCAGGTCAGAGGAGGCATAAAGAGATCATAGAAAAAGACAATTTTAGATGTAAGAAAAATCAACAGAACATTTTAAAGATTAAATTGATAATTGTAAGAAACAAACATCTCTGATCATAACCCCCTCACTTGATGCATTACCACAAAGTTGGAAGTAATAAACTTAAAAATTCTAGTGGGAAATCATTATTTTATCAACAAATACTGTATATTTGAGTAAACCATTAAGTCTTAATTTCAGTTGGAGTTGGGAATGTTTCTTTCTTATCTACTTCAAAACTATTTCACAAGACGCTTTGAAGTTGACTACCATTTTTGGTAGCAAAGGCAGAAACAGGATTTTTAAAAAAATATTTATTTTTTAGTTATAGTTGGACATAATACCTTTGTTTTACTTATTCATTTTTATGTGGTGCTGAGGATCGAACCCAAGGCCTTGCACATGCTAGGTGAGCACTCTACTACTGAGCCACAACACCAGCCCAGAAATAGGATTTTGCTTTCAAATAAGCAGATTAAACATTTATTTTTTTATAAACTGGTGATAAGAATACCTGTACTCTAATTTGGAGCCAATAGCAATTTTGATTGAAAAAAGCTCACAAAATATTTTAACTATTTCTAGGCCAACTAAAAGTGTATGAAGAGCTTCTTATGTAACT